CATAGGCACACACATACGACACTAGTTATTGGATTCATAACTAGGAAACTCCTATCCGGCTTCTCCGCGTGTAGGATGAGAGGTGATGAAATGAAATTCTCCCATAGAAAAGCTTTGCACTTACCTGGGATTAAGGAAAGCTCTTGTAGGTCTCTCTTCTCTCTCTCTCTCTCTCTCTCTCTCTCTCTCTCTCTCTCTCTCTCTCTCTCTCTCTCTCTCTCTGCGCTCATGCACAGACACACTCACACACTCACACGCGCACACAGACCCTGCAGCCAGAAGCCGCTGTACGCTAACAGACAGAGAGAGGAGAATTCAGAAGAAGTGAAGTGAGCGCAAGGGAATTGGCGAGGGATTAGAAAGGGCTCCGTTAGGAATGGTGTCACAGGGCCAGGAAGAGGAAGGCGAGACGTGGGCGGGGGAATTTGAGAAGAATTTGATCCATCTGTCGCTCAGAAGGAGTACTTTCCTTGATAAAGTTGATGTAACTGCTCTCGCACCTCAACAAATATACTGGAAGCAGAGAAATTTGTGCAAAAAGAAATAGCAAGTGACTGTTACATAAACGCTTGACAAAATAACATCAGCAGCCTTCGGTCATGAACCTTCAGTGGCTGCGTTTCTTACAAGATTTTGGTTAAATTGACCACAGAACCATGTCAGTTGGGAGAGGTTGCAGTTCACCTGCGATCCGAATGAGAAGAAGGCCAACAGCAAATGGATAGATGGAAAATTAATTCCATTCCAAAACATTTCTTTTTTTAAATTTATTTCTTGGTGTATTTGAATGTACCCTTCGGGTCATTGCTATGCTGAACGGTGAAACAAAAAGAAAAACAAAACATTCAGAGATACAGTGCATACAGAAGAGATGCAGTGGTCTGCTTATGAATAATCAGCTTCCAATGAATCTCAAATGAATATTCATTGCAAATATGATGGTACAGATACTTTGACTCCTTGTTGCTGCAAAACAACAACAAAAAAAAAACCCTGCAACTTTTATTTGAATGAGAGAACTTAAGCGATTACTTTTCATGGAAACATTTTGTTCTGGTCAGGTGAGCCGCAAGGTCAATTTCAAGGTTAAATTCTAGGTCAAAAGGTCAAGTTACTAAAATCTGCACCAATCTTGTTCGTGATTTGGATTCTTTGTTGAATTACCATTCCAACAATACCTTTTTTTGTTAAAACTGACCCTGTAGTTCCTGAGATATACGGCTTCAAAGAAAGAAAATCAAGTACCGTAATTTCTGGACTATAGACCTCACCTGATTATAAGCCGCACCACTACATTTTTAAATGAAAAAAATATTTTGTACACACATAAGCCGCACCTGTGTATAAGCCGCAGGTGCCCATATTGTAACATTAGATATTTACAAAGAACGACGGTACACAGGCGGCTGTTAGAAAAGTCTTTATATAAGCCGCTTCATGTAATAAGCTGCAGAGTTGAAAGCGTGTGACAAAAGTTGCGGTTTATAGTCCGGAAATTATGGTAATTTACAGGGATGTGTCCAAGGACCGGCAACCCGAGGCCAAGGCCAAGGCCAAGGACTTGCCTCCGAGGCCAAGGCCAAGGCCAAGGACTTGGAAAATTTTCCGAGGCAAGGCCAAGGCCAAGGACTTGAAAAATTTTCCGAGGCCAAGGCCAAGGACCAAGGACTGATTTTGAAATTGAGGCCTAGCCGAGGACATGTATAAAACAATGCTATCATACCACTTGGCAGGTGTTCATGATTTGCAACACCCCTCCATCATAACCCTTTGCACTCCCTAACGCTTGAATGAAGTGATTTTATTCAAAGAGTAGAACAGTCAGGGTACGTGTTCTTTATACTGAGAAAAAGAAATAAAATCATATGATATACATTTATGAATAAATGTTTTAGTGCAGTAGTTTCTTAATATGAAGTAAATCAACACTCAACAGGCATGACATGGCACGGAACACAAGTTGAGAAATGACTTTGCATAGAAGTCAATCACTGACTGCAGAAAAAGCGGTAATCTCTCAGTGATCATTTTACAGTTTACCTGCAGCGAGTCCAAGGGACTCACTGATCAGAAAAGTATGAGTCCCATTATGCATTGAGAGAGTCCCAAATTTCGAATTCCGAAATGGTCTACTTATTCAATTGCATATGATAATAACACAAACAACATATACATACAATTAGAAACAAATGCTGCAAAAATTT